GATCGAGTTGTTGTCTTATTATATGGTCAAAAGATCTAAAGAAAGCTTGCTCTACAGTTAAATCTTCAATGTCTAACAAATATCGATGATATGATAATAATAAATATGCGTGAAATTGTTGGTGGTTACAACATAAATGGTACGGACAATGAGACCATACTCAATAAAATACCCAAGCAATATTTGTCTTTCTAAGTTCTGCTACACAAGCATCTATACACTCAAGGATAGCTGATTGTATCTCACGCATGGAATTGGACAGGGATTGATATAATTCAATCACTTCGACCTTTCGTTCTTCAAGGCACTCACGTATAGTAACATGATAACTTAAAAATGAATTAAAATTATTTTGTTTCTTAAAGAACAATATATATATATATATATAATTTTCAATCAATAATCAAATACTGTGGCCATAGGAACACTTTGCGTAATTGAAGATAATGTAAAGTTGGTTGTAATGGTGAAAAACCAGTAAAGGATTCAGGTGAATCTGAAAATGCTTTAATAAATCCTTGATATAAAAATAATAACCAGAAAATAAGTGTATGCACGTTATACCAACTTATATATACACATAAAGGACTGCATGCCTGATTTTCCTCTTTATATACTCTCAATATGAATGCCTCCATTGATGTTTTATTTACCCTAACAAAATTTTATACGTTTGAAAAAAAAATGGTTTCAGGCTAAACATCACTTCATGTGAAGCAAAGTTTACCTCTCTGCATGGTTCACTAATATTCCAGTAATAAAATATGAAGGAATTCGCTTTGTCAATAGGTCCACTATAAGGATTCGAGAGGTAATCGACATGATACCACCCGAGAGATATAATTCAGATCTACAGAGAATTTAAAAATATACATTTTCGAAATAATATTTTGTAAAGTATTTTCATTTTTAGTTAGATATATTATATAGCTATTGCATACGAAGTATGCAATAAAGGTTTTATTCAATGATTTATTATCTCAGCTTATTAAATAAGATCAATGATAGAAATTCCATAAAATAATTGATGTATTTTAGGCTGATCATAGTAAAGAATTGAGTCTTTACAAATTCAGAATTCCAAATTAAGGTACTAACCTTTCTTTGATACCAATCTCATTGTTCACAACCCTCAGCCTTTTAATGAGCTGAGTAGGAAGAGGTTCAGAAAGGCGGGAAACCGGGTTCTCAACAATCGAATAGTATTTTTCATTGATACTATCTAGTTTCATGTCAATAATTTCTAATCGTTCAAAACTTTGCAGTGTTTGTTCTTTAAAATCAATCAAATACATTTGGTCGGTTTTGTGTTAGATCATCTACGAAAAAGTACTATTTATAATACCAGCGATTCTCTCGATTGCAATTATATATTTTTTCTATTTCTAAACCGTTCAATGTTCCTTGATATTTAATTGAATCTGTCCAATTTTCCTGTATTATTTTTCCATCTCGCTTAAATATAGAATGTATAAGTTGTTAATAATTGAAATAAAGTATTCCTCAAACAAAAAAAAAATTAAAGAAAAATCAGAAATTCTAACTAATTGAATTGAAAAGTGGTTCGATTGGTAGAGCTGTAAGGCTCAAGATAAGAAATATCGTAGTATAAAATGGTTGGTAGAGCTGTAAGGCTCAAGACCAATTCTATCTAAAGATAAAAAGTATTAAATACGAAAAGGGTGGTTCGATTGGTAGAGCTGTAAGACTCAAGGCCAATTCTATCTAAAGATAAAAAGTATTTAGGGTGGTTCGATTGGTAGAGCTGTAAGACTCAAGGCCAATTCTAGCTAAAGATAAAAAGTATTTAGGGTGGTTCGATTGGTAGAGCTGTAAGGCTCAAGACCAATTCTATCCAAAGATAAAAAGTATTGAAATACGAAAAGGGTGGTTCGATTGGTAGAGCTGTAAGACTCAAGACCGATTCTAACTAAAGATAAAAAGTATTGAAATACGAAAAGGGTGGTTCGATTGGTAGAGCTGTAAGGCTCAAGACCATGTTCTTTTATTATCTAAAATTTCATTTTTCCAGAAACGATTAAAAAGAATTAGGGCTGTTAAAAAGCTTGCCCGAACCCGGTCCCTGAGTCGACTTACGGACATTTTGGGACCGACTCAAGCCTGTCCCAGACCGAAGTCCTAATGCATGCCATTATGATTAGAAAGACATTTACATAGATTTATTGTTATCGTTATTTGACCAATCAATACGTAGAATATTTTGGATAACTTACCAAAAACATTTTACTACGTAAACATATTTTCGCAAGAATGAAATACTGTTAACTCTCTTTATAACGCACTGGCGGTTCATATGGTAAAAAATTTTCAGAAGCTCCATATAGAGTGATTACTATATTTTTGTGCTAAATTTTAAAATAAAAGTTCGTTACATAGCAAGTTTGCTATAAAAAGGTGTTATATTCGGAAGTGACTATTTATTGGCAGGAATCAAAAATCCAAAGCACTTCGATCAGAAGAAAAAAATGTCACTATTACCAGGTTGTGTATAATTAGTATATAATCAACAAGCTGAAAAAGGTGACCTAGTCTGTTATTATCAAAGGCTAAAGTAATGGTATTTTCTTTCAAACCGGGCTTCGGTCAATAAATATTCTGCCAATTTTTTTTTTTTAATTTACAGTATTTGTCACTCGATCCCCCTTAAAACAATACTACGAAATACACAATGGGATATCGCCTCGCTGCATCACGTGGTCACCAGCTGTTTTCTAGAATCGATCCTAACCTTCTCCTTGTAATCATTCTTATATTGCTTATTTCCCGCTATCACTGTATGATATCCGGATTGTTCATCCGGGCTATCCACTATCCTTGGCATTCAACTTGTCCAGCTGTGTTACCATGACCTTACCTGCCTAACCTGTCCTTTCGGGTGGGTGGAAGGGATTTACGAATAGCTAGACTTGCGTCGAGCTTGCAGCAAAGAGAAAAAGTAACTCAAAAAACCCTAGAACCGTCTCCTTTATATACCTTTATTATGATCTCATACTTACCTAAATGACGTAACGTCACCTCATTCCTCTAACTATTCGTATATCCATAACTCTATACTTATTAATTACGTACAAATTACAAATGACATACGTCAGTGAATGGGGTATGGATCTCGTGACAAATGACTGCCATGTGACTTTGTTCACGGCATTACATTTGTCACTTGATCCTCCTTAAAACAATACTATGAAATACACAATGGGATTATCAAGAGAATCGAATTGCATTCTCTTCTTCTCCTCTCTGTCTCTCTTTTTTTATATTCTCTTTCTCTTTTCTTCTTTTTTTTTTTTTTTGCAAATCTAAAATAAATTGACGTGAATGCCTTCTTTTCATTACACAATACAAGCATACTTAACATGAACAATAATATGCAAACATACATCACTATTATACAACAATAATTCAAACAGATCAAACCAAAATCATAATCCTAAAACCTCATTTTCCTTGATGTCTTTTCTCATGCTGTCTCTACTGCTCTTAAGTACAGAATGACTGCCTTTGAATCCCATCTTCTGATTGTCTTAATTTGAGTCAAAGACATCTTACCTTCCATTGCTGCAGTCGCACCTCCAATATGTAAGCTATAAGCTGTAAAACAACCCTTAATCCTTGCATGCTCGGTCATTCTTTTAACAATTGACGAAATTGCTGAAACTGACATCTCTCTCTGCTTTTTAGACAAAAACAAAGGTTTATCTACTTCGGTCTCTGGCCTCACACTTAAGTATTTCTCTAATAACCGCACCGGACAAAATCTATTCTCAATTAATTCTAGTGGCACAAATCTGTCATTTGCAAATAGGTCATTCTTTGCCTTTCTGACCCTAATCCAGATTAAATCCATCTTTCTTTCTAAATCGTTTAACTTCAACTTGCATAATTTACCTGGTCTATATATCGTTCTAAATCCTAAAGCAATTAAAGCTAAATCCTGACACCAAATTACTGGATCTGCTTTATCTGGTAGATCATCATGATAATATTTCAAGGCTCTCAATGGAAATGGGTCTCGTGGTCAGTCAACTTGACGATCTTGAGCTCTTACCAATTTAATTCTTCTCACTACCTCCTTTACATTCACATTCTCTACTGGATTTACAAATCCCTTCTGTTTATGCAATTTCGCTATTGCTCCTAAACAGTCTTGCATACAAAACACCTTTCCCGCCATTTCTAACCATCCTAAAAACATTCTTACCGTCTTAACCTTTGCCGGATATACATTTTCTTCTACCCATCCACAAAATTCTTCAAATAAATGTTGCACCTTACTCAACCTTAACTTATAGTCCTTCGTGATTGACCTAAATGCCAAATCATCTGCTCTACTTAACCATTCTTGGACCAATCGATTCTTGCTGCTAACAGCTTTCATGCTAGATTCCTGCATGGTTCCCTTTGTCCTGACAGTCCTGGAATAATGATCTCCATTGCCGGCAGTAACTCCACTACCTCTTTTGATGCCTTTAAGAACATTGGCCACCACAGAGCTGACGTCCATTCTGGCAGAATTAACAACAACTGTGCTCTGCATTCCCAACTATGTGATAACACCTGGTATATTAAACCGAAGGGTAGACATGCATAATTTACCTCTCCTGCCCAATTCTGAGTAAAACAATCGACAGCTTCTAAATTCAGACAAAAATAGTAGCTGTTAAAACACATCTTCTTCGTGTTTAGGTGACTCGCCAAACGATCTATTGACACCTCGCCCTACTTGTTCTCCAACCCTTTGAAGGTCTGATCGTCCAACTCCCAGTCTCCTGTATCCCAAATTTTCGTGAGGTAATCTGCTGGATTCTCTAAGCTTGGAACCCATCTGACCTCGTGCACCTACACATCGTTCTTCACGCAGAACTCCCAAAGAAACCTCGCTATATCCTTTTGCTACAGACATGGCCCCCCTTGAGTAATTGACCTTAGAGCCACTTTGTTGTCTATGTATATAATTATCCAAGAGTGCCTTAACCATGTTACAAAAGATTGCAGGGCTCTCAATGCGGCTAAACTTTTCAACTGTGCAATTTCCGCCGCTTTGAATAGATGTGGCCAATTTTTTGCTGCTCTGTGATTCAAATAGACCCCACACCACCCTATTGTCGATGCATTCACAAAAACTGCTTTTATTTGAGCTGGTTTCCATACTGGCTTCCTATTCCACTTCACAATGTTTTCTTTTAGCCATCTTAGATCCTCCTATGCCTTTTCGGTCAAACACACCTTCTTGTCCTACTTCTAACGATTTCGATTTGCCACATCTATTATTGCATACAATTCCAGGCACTTCACTTGTGCTGGTAGAAATGCCCATGATATGCTCTGAATTTGGCCTGCTACTGCCGCTAACTTCCTTGCTGAAACTGACTGAAGACCCTCCAAACTCGTCAAATCTTCTTAAACTTTCAATAATTTCTCTCCTAGAATTTCCACCAATCCTTTTTCTGTATCTACCACTAGGCCATAAATTTTTATCCTCTTTGAAGGCTCCCAACAACCTTTGTCCAATGCCCTGACTAAGCTGCATCTCTCCAGATCGACTTCTATTACCCGATTCCTTATTGCCAATAATGTCTCTTTTATAGGACATGCCACCCATACATCGTCTATGTGATTTCCGCAAAAAATGCCTTGCGACCTCCATGCTCCAATCAAGGCTCTCATTAATTTTGAAAATATCCATGGAGCCTGGCATAACCAAATGGGAGCACCATGTAGTGGAACCACTCTTCCCCTATTCGAAAGCCCAGAAAACGCTGAGCCCATTCGTCTATTAAAACATGGTGATAGCCTTCTCGCAAATCGAACACTATCATCCACCAATCTCTTCCTATTGTTCTTAAAAACCCACTGAGCCCTTCGAAACAGAACGATTTCTTTGGTAACACTTGATTTAACCTTCTCAAGTCTATCACTAGGCGGTACTTCTTTGGCCCTGCCTTCGGTACAAGAAACACTGGGCTTACTTCCAGTAGAAAGTCTGGTCTCTCTTAACCTACATGTACTAATTTTATTGCCCCTGTTTCTCTCAATTTTTTTAACTCTAAGCCTACCCAATCCAACTCATCTTTTGTCAGCCTGAATTGTTTCAGAACCTCCATTTGAACTAATGTCTTTACATCCTTCACAAACAGCGGAACTTTGTCCTTTAACCACATTATTACTACTGCTGCTGGTTTTATTTTTTCCTCCCAATAGGTTACTGATGACTGCCAATAACTTTTCCTACCACCTTCCTTTCCCTTTGTTTTACTTCTTTCGGTATACTCTCTACCCCCTGATCGTAGTCAACTTCCTTCCCTCTTAGAGCTCGACCCACGAAAGGACTGATTCATTTTCTTTTGAGGACAATCCCAAGTGATATGACCCCTTTCCTCACAAATGAAACATACTACCCCTGCACTTCTATTTTGTCTCACAGGCCTACTTGGATTATATGACCTCTGATTCTGTTGTGAGACCCACAGCTTATTCTAAGCACCTCGCTGATTATCATAAGCTTGACGTTCTTGCATTTAATATAGAGTCTGAGGAACACCACTAAAGAATGGTCCTACTCCTGGGCTAAACCCTGACTGTAAAGATTGAACTGGTTGGTATAGTTGAACAGGTTGAAAGGGCTGAATTAAAGGCCACTGTATCCCCTGGTTAGGTGCAAGAGCTGCCACTCCTATAAGTGAGCTATTGAATGGTGGTCCTGGTAACACGGGTTTGTTCTCTACCTTCTGTCATTTATTCTTAGCTGATTGTCTTGCACTTGTTAGCTTATCGTGAAAAAGGGCTTCCATAGGATCATCTGAAGATTTATCTTCAATTTCTGCTGCAATATTCCATCCTTCATGATTCATTATTCTTAAAACAAATGCTCTCGTAACTACTACCTCCCTTGCTTTTGATATCATATCCCAATCATTGCTTAAGATAGCACTATCTATATACTTTCCAACTTTACACCACTCATTATACTCGAACTGGTCTCGCGCCTCATTCATTTTTTCCTTAATCCAGTACTTATTTTCTTCCATATTGTGTACTGGTTGTATACTTTTTCTAATCTCATCCACTACTTTCCCTAACATTGCCTTCATCATTTTCTTGATTGACTTCTCAAGAGCCACATACTGCTGGTCGAAATCCAAATAGCCCCCATACCCTGCATACCCAGCACCTTCAGACCCCATACCCTCTCCATCGATATTATCCAAAGATCTATTCCTAGCAATATTATCATGCAACCCTTCTTCTGCGTCAAAGCCCATTCTTCCTTCACCCA